TTACATTATGTGGGGTATAAAGAAGTCTTGTTACATTATGTGGGGTATAAAGAGTTAAGCCATTTCCAAGGGTTAATTTGGTGGCCTTCAATACGAGTAGGGCCACTGTGGCAACTGCTCGGAGGCATGCTGGCCATTCTTTAGCCATCAAATCAAGTTCCTTGCTCAGGTAGCCCACTGGCTGTTGAGCTGGTCCTTGGGCTTGAGTTAAAACTCCCAGGGCCATTCCCTGCATTTCTGATACATAAAGATTGGAGGCCCTCCCTATGGGAAAGCTGAGGGATGGTGCCTTAAGTAAGGCTTGTTGTAGCTGGTTGAAGACCTTTTGAGCTTCAGGTTCCCAGGTTAGAAAATGAGTTTTAGCCACTTGAGTTTCTTTTATTAGGTGGTATAAGGGATGTTCTATCTCACCATTCCTAGGTATCCATAGTCTGCAAAATCCTGTAATGCCCAAAAATCCTTAGTTGCTTGAGGGTTTTAGGGAGGGGGGAAAAAGGAAATGGACTTAATCCTTTCTTCCTCTAATGCTCTGGTCCTTTCAGACAATATAAAGCCTAGGTACTTCACTGAGGTTTGGCAAAGCTGGGTCCTGGATTTTGAAACCTTATATTCTCTGTCTGCTAAGAAATTAAGAAGAGTTTTCAGTACCTTCCTGAGAAGCTTCCTCAGTTGCAGCATGGAGCAGCATATCACCCATATATTGCAAGACCCTGACCTGAGGATGGGACAACTCAGAGAGGTCCTTTGACAGTGCCTGTCAAAAGAAGTGAGGACTATCTCAAAATCCCTGAGGCAGCACCATCCATGTTAACTGGGTGGTCTGGCCAGAGGGATCTTCAAAGGCAAACAAGTATTGAGAGTGAGGATGTCATGGTATACAGAAAAAGCCATCCTTTATATCTAGGATTGTGAACAATTTAGTTCCCCCAGGTATTTGAGTTAGCAAGATATAGGGATTAGGGACCACTGGATAAATTGGGACGATGGCCTTATTAACGAGGCAGAGGTCCTGAACTAGTGTCCATTCCCCGTTGAATTTTTGCATTCCTAATATTGGGGTGTCGTAGGGGCTGTTACAGGGTTTGAGGAGGACTCAACCTATTCTTCCTTGAACTACCCATGCTTCTGGGTTAGTATTAGCTTCCACTGGGGGAGCCAAAGTATTTTTCCTGGGGCTATAAGGATGTTGGCCCCTATGTGAGTAAAAATATTTCTACCTAATAAAGCAGTGGAACTTTCAGACATACTTAAGAAGGCATGTATAAATGATAGGTCTCCCACTCTACAACTAAGGGGTTGAGAAAAACATCGGGTTAGAACCTTTCCTGAGATGTCTATCACAGTCATGCTACAGGAAGAGGGGAGGCCTGGATTAGTGAGGAGAGAGGCTGGCTCCAGTGTCCAGAAGGAGGTCCACCCTTCTTTTAATTTCCAATATCACCTGGGGTTCCTGTGCAGTAATGGAAGCTTGAGCTGCCGGAGCCAAGGGTTTGAATCCTGGGACCCATCGGTCCCATTGGACCATCTGTGAAACTGATTCTGATCTGAGTGACCTCCATCTCCAGGGGCAGTCTGATGGAATGGGCGCTGTCCAGGTTCCTGCCCTCTCTGGAAGCTTGATAATGAGGAACCCTGATGTGTCACTATGGAGGAGGCTGTGGGAAAAAGCTGTTTCTCAGGGCTGCCTGGATCACAAGGTGGGGGCACTTTTGACTTGGCTGGGCCTGTGAATTACAGGAATTCTGCTCCATGTCAGCAACCAGCTCTTTCAACTTCTGTTCCTCTTTGTAGCTGATTCTCTTGCCTGATTCCTGAACCTGTTCTAGAGTCCTCCTCACAATGCCTGATGGTCAGGGCTGTGTGTGGAGACCTAACGAAGGGTCTTGTGTGCTCAGAGTGTCCAGAGGACAGGCTTCATGACCTCCCCTGCCCCAACCCCACAACAAGATCTGGATAGTGGGCCGGGTCAGATAAAGTCAGAATCCCCAGCAAGGGTGTGTGTCCTGGCAGTGCTGAGGTCTATGCCCCAGATTAACTCTCAGTGTCTTTGCAAATACATTTATGTTTTGCATGCATTGTTGGCTGGGCAGTCTCATGTCTCTAAATTCTTGTATCACTCTGTGGATAAGGTAATAAAGAGTCTGCGTGTAAGTATATAAAAGCTATCTGATCAGGGTGGGTGTGTTTTACATAGTGGATTTGTTTTTCACCAAAGACGTTTCAAAAAGTTATGACAGAGTGTATGTATAGACGCACATGCATATTTATATGTGTTAGATGTTAATATATTTATATAAATTTAATATATGTATAAATGTACATATATTTATATATAATGTGCCATTTTAACCACTTTAAAATATGCAATCAAATAAAATTAACCACACACAGTGTTACATTACCATCACCACTATTTATCCTAGACAATTTTTATCATTTTAAACTAAAGGTCTATATCTTTTAAGTAATAGTTCCCTATTTTTTTTATGAGTAAATTTTTATTTTTATTTATTTTTATTTATTTAAAATTTATTAATTATTATTATTATACTTTAAGTTCTAGGGTACATGTGCATAAAGTGCAGGTTTGTTACATATGTATACTTGTGCCATGTTGGTGTGCTGCCCCATCAACTCGTCAGCACCCATGAACTCGTCATTTACATCAGGTATAACTCCCAATGCAATCCCTCCCCCCTCCCCCCTCCCCATGATAGACCCCGGTGTGTAATGTTCCCCTTCCCGAGTCCAAGTGATCTCATTGTTCAGTTCCCACCTATGAGTGAGAACATGCGGTGTTTGGTTTTCTGTTCTTGTGATAGTTTGCTAAGAATGATGGTTTCCAGCTGCATCCATGTCCCTACAAAGGACACAAACTCATCCTTTTTTATGGCTGCATAGTATTCCATGGTGTATATGTGCCACATTTTCTTAATCCAGTCTGTCACTGATGGACATTTGGGTTGATTCCAAGTCTTTGAATAGCTCCCTATTTTTTCCACCCTAGACCTTGATAATCTCTAGTCTACTCTCTGTCTCTATGAATTTACCTATTCTTGATGTTTCATATAAATGGAATCATACACATACGTCATTTTGCTTCTGGTATATTTCACTTATCATAATGTTTTCAAGGTCTATGAATGTTCCAGTGTGTGTCAGAGTTTTGTTCCTCTTTATGGCAGATTAACATTCTGTCGTATGTATCACCACATTTGTTTATTCATGTATTGATGAGCACTTGGATTGTTTTCACAATTTCTCTTTTGTGAGTAATGCTGCAATCAACATTCCCATATAAGTACCTGTTTGAGTCCCTGGATTCAATTCTTTGGGTATATAGCTAGGAATGGATGCTGTTTCATATGAGAATTCTGTGATTAGCTTCTTGAGGAACAGCACAACTGTTTCTCCTAGTGGCTGCACATTTTTATAATCTCACCAGCAATGTATGAGGATTCCAAATTCTACATAAGGCTTTCACTTGTTATTTAACATTTTAAAAGAATGGTAGCTATATTTGTAGGTATAGTGTGGGATCTCGTTGTGGCTTTGACTTTGTATTTTCCTAATGACTAATGATGTTGAGTTTCTTTTCATGTCCCTCTTGATGATTTCCATATTTTCTTTGAAGAAATGTCTATTTGAGTCCTTTGCCCATTTATATAAATTGGGTGGTTTGTCTTTTTGTTATTGAGTTGTAGCAGTTCTTTATATATTCTGGGCATGAAACCATTATCTGAATGATTTGCAACTATTATGTCTCATTCTGTGTTTGGTCTTTTTATTTTCTTGATAATATCCTTTGATGCACAAAAGGCTTACATCTTTAGCCCAGTTTATCTGTTTTTCCTTTTTGTTTCTCATGCTTTTGGGTCATACCTGAGAATCCATTGCACATTTGAGGTCATTAAGTTTTACCCTTATATCTCTTTATTTTGTTTTTCCAAACGATTGCATTTATTATAAACAAGAGTACAGACCATAGACTCAGAAACACAACAGATTCGAAGCTAAGACAGCTCTGGTGAAACAGTAATAGAGGTAAGAGGAACACTGAAGTATTCATGTCTGGGCCAGAGCTACCATCCAGGGCCCCACACTCCACCTTTGGTCCAGATGGCCCCTTGGCCCAGGTGTCCCTGCTGCCAGAACACCCTGGACTGGGGTACAGGAGTTGCATATTGCATGAGGTTGGTGTCAGGGGAAGCAGGGACTCACAGTTGCCAGGTTTTCCATCTCCTCTGAATCAATTTCCCTCCACAACCCTGGGATTTCAGTCTCATATCAACTATCATGTTTTAAAACAGAAAACAGGCAAAATGTTTGGTTAAAATAAAATGAAAACACTGCAGGCAAGAGACCTGAGTGTGCTGGTGGACAGGAGCCCTGCTCACCTGTGGGAAGGGCAGGGCCAGCAAGGGCAGCAGAGCTCCCTGTGGGCAGCTAGGCTTTGTGTGGATGTGGCCCTCCGGGTGGTCCCAGGGAAGATGCAGGGACAGGGGACAGTCCAGGCAGACAGCTATCAGGTGAGTAGGGCTCTGCCTGAGGTGTTCTGGCATCAGGGGACTACCTGACCCCCAACAGGCATGACACAGGCTCCAGGGAGCAATGGGACATCTGCCTAAAGGATCAAAGCCCAACTTGGTCAGATCCTAAGCTTTGTCTGCATCACCTCGAGCAGCAACTGGCTACGCTGCCGAAACCAGGACACATCTGCATCATACAGAAAGCTGCACCATCCTGGTGTGACAGGCCATACTTGGTCACCCTAGGGTAAGCTGGAGAAGAACTCCAGATGTGCCCTGGAGAAACCCCCACCTCTCAGGGGCCACCTCACAGGGTGCCCCCACCACCCCATTCTTTGAGTTTGGCTTGAGATTTTAGGAAGCATAATTTCAGGTGAGGAAGAGAACAAAGTCTGGTCCCAGCCCACTCTGGCAAGGATCATTACCCACCTCCTCAGCATCAGAGGAACCCACATATACAGGCAGCACACACACAGCACACCTGGGCCATAAGGAACCGTGCCTGAACACCACTCACACACAACATAACCAAGTGGCAGCCACAGAGGCCGGGGGATGCTCAGAGGGCCGCCTTCGGGGCATCCATGTAGGCCGGGTTATAAGGAGGCTGGCTGGCCAGGTAGGGCGCGGTTGCTCCTCCAGCCAGGGTCTCATGGTAGGCTGGCAGGCCCATGGGCTGGGCCGGGTAAAGTGGTGGGTACTGCATTGGGTAGGGTGCTGCTGGCATCCCTGGCTGAGGCAGCATGGTGTGGTAGCCCTGGTAGCTTGCTCCAGGGTAGCTGGGCGGCACACTTGCAGGCTGAGGATAAGGGGTGTGCACCACAGTGGTGGATGTGATGGTGGTGACAACCGGATGTGGTCAGTGGCAGGTCTTGTATAGGCAGCAGCAGGAGCAGGTGAAGCAGGTGATGATAGTGATGACAGACAGCACAAAGATGGTCAGGCCAACGGTCAAGGTTGCTCTGAACCCCATGTTAGCCTCTGCATTCACCCAGAGGCCTCCTGTACCCCTGGGCTTCCCCTCTTCCCTTCGCGGGCCACTCAGATTCAACTTCCTCCCCTTTTGGAGAAAAGGAAAGCAAATCTCCAGATGATGTCGGCCACAGGAAGCACCTCCTATGTCTCTTTCTAATATGTTTTTATGGTTATAGATCTTATAATTAACTCACTGATCTATTTTTAGATAATTGTTTGATATGGTTGGAAGCATAGTTCTCTAAGTTTATTGTTTTGCGTGTGGTTATCTAGTTGTTTCCGCACCGTTATTTAAGAGGATGATTGTTCCTCCATTAAATTATCTTGACACCCTTATGCAAGAGCAATGAACTATAAGGGTGAGGATTTATTTCTGGACTCTCGATTCTATCCCTTTGGTCCCTATTTGTATTCTTATGCCAGCAGCTTCTGTTTTTAATAGTTGTAATGTTTTGTGAGATTTCAAATAAGAAAGTTCAAGTTCTACAATTTGTTTTGGCAAAATTGTTTTGGCTATTTCAAGGGTACTTTTTTGAAAAGCAAGGAGGTCCATTTCTGTGTTGTGAACACAGAAAAGTCTTTTCTGTGTTCTTTCAGCAGGAAATTTTGCTGTCTAGGGATCTTTTCAGGAACTTTATCAAAGTAGGTAAATTATCACCACTTCCTTTGCTGAGGTACTGTGTTAAAATGTGTGTTGTCTCCCGTTGAGGAATTGAGAGACCCTGGAAGCACTTGCCCATGTGGTGAGAGACAGTGAGCTCCTTAAAGAGGGTCACAGAAGACATTGCTTTGGGACACAATGTTGTCAGGGGAGCTGTGTGCATCTCTACTTCTTTATTTTTTGTACAAGTTGCATCTCTGCTGGACATACTAGATATTGAAATCTTTGTTCATTCTCTTGGTTCTGGGTTGGCTGACCTGTCAGCTGGAGCTGGAGGACATGCCTGGCAGGGATGACCCCCATGGGAAAGAGCAGGGCTCAGCAGAGTGAAAGCAGCTGGGACCCAGAGAAGCCAGGGAGGTCTGACTCTTAGAAGCCAAAGACCAGCAGGTGGGTGTCCTCAGGGGCAAATGGACTACACTGTTACCCATTGCAGTGGACTGGAAAAAGGTAAGAGGCTTTGGATATTCCATTTTCTCTCTCAGCTCTTCAGCAGGAGATCTGGGCCCTGAACTGATACTGTCCTGCATCAGGGTCAGGGTAGACAGGAATGACTGCATATCAGGCCTAAGTCCATGTCATCCTCTCAGACATTGCCACAGAAGATGGAGAATTTTGTTCAGAGGCCCAGCCTGGGCACATGGGAGGAACCACCTTATTAAAATTAATTTAAGAAAACAGTATGCTTGCTTTATTCTTCTCGAATAATTATTAATGTCATGTTTTACAATGTATCTCTTAAAGGAATGGTGAGAATCATCTACGTAAAGTATGTTTTAGGTGGTCTTTTCTGTAATTGCAGCTTTCACATGTTCTTAGAGAAATAGTTTTCTTTGGGAACACACAGGCAGTATCTCTGTGTTCACTTCTACTGGGAAATCTTTATGCAGGGTAGAGAGAGTCACATTTCCTAATGAGAGATGGAAAGCATCTGATTACCAGAAAAAGTGTCCAAATGCTGCTGGTATGATCATGGGGCTGCAGGTAGAGGTCAGTTCAAGGAGGTGTCAGGGAAAGTCATTTTGAGAGTCTTTTTTTTTTTTTTTTTTACAAAATCGTGGGCAGAAGCCACCAGCTGGACCCACCACATATTGGAATGCACAAGGGACATGAATAGAGCTCAGTAAATTTAGAATGAAATCCAAGAGTGGGCAAGAGGTTTGAGAGGTCGACAGGTGTGAGAGGTGAATGTGTGAATGGTGAGAATATTCAAAACATCCTCTTTCTCCATAATAAGAGAGCATTTAAGTCCCTGAGCCAGACAGTGTCCAGGCCAGGGGGAGCAGGATGTTGTCAGCTCTCCTGGCCAAAAGTGAGACTCCAGCAGTGTCCAGTTACTTGGTCCAGTTTGGGATTTATTCCTATTTTAAAAATGGCCCAACAGTATACAATTTTGAAAATATACAAAAATCCCTATGCTACCATTCATAGATAGCCAAGATAGCCCTAAGATAGTGAGAGAATCAGAATGGGGTTTGGGTTTATGTTGTGTATTTTTTCCTCCCAATATCTACAGAATTCCCTACATCCTACTTTTTAATGTAACCCAGTGGGTGTCATTCCCTTTCGTAGTTACAGACCTTTCCGGTTCACGGTTACAGACCCTTGGAAAACCCACACCCTTTCTGCTGTGAGGTACAGGCAGCCATGCGGCATCACCTCTAAACATGCCTTCTGGGACATCAAATTTCTGAATAAGTGAAAGTCATTTCAGTAGATATTGAAGACCTCCATTTTACCCCTCTCACACTTGTAATTCTTCTACCAAGAGGTGATGGATTTTAGTGGTGATTTGTTTTATAGATTAGTGAAGATTAATGCTTCTGCCAGGGGCAATTTTTTCATTGGGAAAAGCATTTGGCAAAGTCTGGAGACATTGCTAGTTGTCAGAGCTGGGGGAGGGAGTCCTGCTGGCCTTGAATGGGTAGAGTCCCCAGAGAGTACTGAACATTCTAGAGCTCACAGAGCCCCACCAGCATGACCACTACAAAGTTCAATGCTGAGGAGGAGTGGAGAGCCCTGATATGCCTCCCCTAGCTTCCCTGGAGGTTTTTACTTTCTCCTTTAATCAGTCTTTACCACTTTCTCACCTCAGCTTGCTCCTGGAACCTTAATGCCCTCCTCTTGAACTTGCCCTTAGTTTAAGACCTGCTGTAGTCTCTTGATTTCCTTGGCCCCTTTCTGATCCTTAGCAAGGTGTCTTCTAGAGGGTACCTTCACCTTTCCTGGAGCTTCCCAGGATCCAGATGCCCCTGCCTTGTGTGGGCACCAGGGATATGGCCCTGTGCCTGTGTCCCTAAAGTTCCTGTCACTCAGGACCTTTGTGTGAGAGCAACTGAGGTGATATTACCCTCCCCTACTTTTCTTGGAACATAAAAATATGTACAAACCTTGTAGAGTAAAATTTCTTAATGCATGTGAAAATTTTAAAAATATATATTTTTGCCTCCCAAACTTTACTGGGAAAAATTTATTACAGTCCCAATCATAAAAAATGACACGTATTCAGGGTTATTCACTGTATTGTTTGTTTAACAGCAAAATATTGGGGACAACCTAGACTTTCACCAGCACAATGCTAATTAAACAGGTTAGCTTGTATCTACACAATAGAATATAATGCAGCTGCATAAAAAGTATAGAATCTTTCAGGTATTCACATGGAAACACCTCCATGTTCTATTTTAATTATAGCATCTAAACATCACAGAATAAGATGCAGTTTTTGTACTAGATCTGACCTTAGAACATTATTTTTACTGTTTTTTTTTTTTTTTAATTTAAAGAGAGAGGGTCTCACTCTCATACCGAGGCTGAAGTGCAATGGCGAGATCATAATTGACTGCAGCCTCAATCTTGTGAGCTCAGTGATCCTCCTGCCTCAGCCTCCTGAGGAGCTGGAATCACAGGCATGTGCAACCATGCCTAGCTAATTTTTTCTGTTTGTTTCTGTAGAGATGGGGTTTTACCCAGGCTGGTGAAACCCCAGGCTGGTCTCAAACTTCTGGGCTCAAGTGATCTGCCCACTTTCATTCCCAAAATGCTGGAATTACAAGCAAGTGTCATCACACCTGATTCTGCCTTTTTTTTTTTTTTAAAAAAAAAAAAATTGAACTGCAGTCGACTCACTCATCTCTTTCTCCATCAGGTGATTTCTATTTTTTCCTCTATTTCTCCACCGTATGTCCATACCAAAATCCAGATGTATTTGCTTTTGTTTAGAATTAGATTTTTTTTTTTTTTTTTTTTAAAGAGAAGCCCTAGGAATGGTCTCCTAGCTGATTTTCAGGATTCTAATCTTCACTGTCTAAGCCATAGGTTTCCAACTCCAGATACTGATTAGAGTCACTTGTAGGGCATTTAAAGCCTACCAATGTCTGTACCATCCCTCAAGTATATCTGATTTGGCTGATGTGTGGTGTGGCCCAGGTATTGGTTGTTTAAAAATGCTTTTAAGGAAAAGGGTCATTTTGAAGTGGAGGAACTTTAGCCCAGTAATCAAAGTTAACATCCCCAGTAATCAGAGATAATGACATCTTAGGGCATTGTAATGTAATGTAATGGATGGAGAAGGTGCAGCATCATCCCTGTGGTATTCTTGTACAAAGTGTATAACCTGAGTTTAATCATGAGAAGATATTAGAAAAGTCCAAACTGAGGATCATTCTACAAAATAAGTAACCAATACTCTTCAAAAATGTGAAGGTCTTAAAGGTAAATCCTAACTTTCCCAGATTAAAGGAGACTGAGAGAACAGTACAATGAAGAGCAATATGTGATACTAGATTGGATCCTGGTCCAGAAAGAGGACATTAGTCAGAAGATAGAGGAGATTTGGATAAGGTCTGTACAGGCATTCATTTTACAGTGTTAATAATCATTTATTGATTTTGATTATTAGGTGCATATCTATAATGTTAATATTTGGGGAAGTTGAATGAAAAGCATATGAGGACTTCGCCTATTTTTGGAACATTTTTGAAAGTCTGAAATTATTTCAAAACTAAACTTGAAAAAAAAAAAGAAATATAGATCTTTTATTATTTCTATTAAGTTTCCAAAGTTGAAGATCATTTCCCAACTTATCTTGCCTAATACTGGTCAGAGTAATCTTCCTGGAAATCCTGTTTGTCATGTTTGTGACCTTCTTAAAGCTTTCCAGTGACTTCTCTTATCTGTAGGATGAAGTTCCCATTATGTAGGCTGCCATTCAGTGCCCTCATAGCATGGCCCGAATCTCCCCTTTTTTTTTTTTTTTTTTTTTTTTAATCTGTGTTGAAAGACCTGACCAACATTTTACTTTCTTATGGCCAAACTTGTTCAAATTTTTTCTTGCTTATATAATGCCTTCCCTGTCTTCTTAACTGTGGGACTTCAGTTAAGGTGGTGGGAAATATTTTAGAAGAAAAATTATAAAGATAGTTACAGGAAGTAGTCACAAACCTTCTTGGAAGTCTGAGGGTTTGCATAGCTTCAGTAAAAGGTTTGGCTGAAGGCAGCTGAATTATCTTAAAAGCTTAGGGCATAGATACACAGGAATGTAGAGGAGTTTATCTAAATAGCTTGTTTACTCAGGCGACCCTAAAGCCAACATTTAATCTTATGCTGGGGAACTACTCTCCAGGAGGTCAGCAATGTCAATTACCTTTTAGTGGTGTTTACTGAAGACCTTTGTCATTTAATCTGTACTAAATAAATGCGAACTTCACGGGCTTATTAGGGCCTCTGCTGTTAACTCTTTACGGGACCCATCTCGGTACCGGTGAGTGACAGGGCCACCTAGCCTGCTGTTTCACTGGATATTTGTGTCTGAGTGTATTTGTTCATCCATTGCTGGGTCAGGGTCTGCGGGTTGGACCCAGACAGTTGGTGCCCCGTGTGAGGACCTGGCAAATTGGTGCCCAGGACTGAGGTATAGCTGCAAATAATCGTGACAGAACCCTCAAAAACTAAGGTGAAGACTGTGCGGTTGGTAAGCCAGTAAGTCGATAAGTCAGTAAGTCAGTAGGTCATCGGTGCCCACTTGGAATCTCCAAGTTCGAGGGAATTGTTCAGGGTAGGGTTTTATCAGGGGACAACAGTTATCAGCACAAGAGAAGCAGTATCTAAAAGTATTCAATCAGCTGCTTAAAGCCACTGGAGCCTCGGTTTTGCAGGCTCAATTAAAGGACCTATTGCAAATTGTATCACTTAAGCCATGGTTCCCAAAAGAAGCTGAGCTAGACAGAGAGCTTTGGGA